ATACTGCTGCTGCTGTCTGCATCACCCTTCTTGTTGTTTGTGAGTTCAGGAGGAAATGTTGTTGTTGTTGTGGTGGTGGTGGTTGAAGTTGATTCCTCCTCATTGTTCGGTATATTGGTATTGTCAGAGGTCGTTGTTGACTGTTTGTTCCCTGCCCTGTGTGACTCATCAGTGTTGGTTGTAGCTTGTGAATCCTGAGAGGTTGCACCTTCTTCTTCTTCTTGTTCTTGCAGTGGTGATGTGTTCTCATGTGGACTCCTATGGTCGCCACCATTAGGTGCAGATGCTGAGACTATTGGGTTCTCTCCACTTGCTTGTGTTGATTCAGATAAACCATCACCTGACTGTTGTCTATCAGAAACAGGAGAAGGTGGAGGGGGATGCCCTTCTGTTGGTTTTGCAATCCGTCCTTCTGCAGACTCAGGGGAACTAAGAGGGTTATTTTGTCCCAGAGTACCTGATTGGGTACCTTCTGCTTTTAAGGTTTGCTCAACAACCTGAGTTCCTGTTCTACCTTTATTTTCAGAATCACCTGTTACCTTTGTGTAATCACTTTGGGATACTTCTTGCTCTTGATGCGAATTCGTAGTGACATGTTTACCTCCTTGTACACCAGGATCACCATGTGTAATGTTAGCTTGTTTGGGTGAACGCCGTAAAGTGGGTTCAGCAGCCTTAATAGCAATACGGGCCTCTTCGCAAGAAACAGTCTTAACAAAAGGAGGAACACCAACAATCGTAACACAATTACTGGACTCAGAAGCTTTAGGACTATCAGCCCATACTAACCCACAAGCATAACAGAGTGCAAGAGTTAATAAACAGAGCAGATAACACCTCACCATTACAGCCTTTGTCAGTGTTGTTGATCACTTCAAAAGACTGATACAATGAAGAAAAAAGGAAATAATAATGATAGAAACAAACAAACATACAACAATACAACAAAAACTGACAGTGGAAAAGAGAGAAGCAGCAACTGCACAGTAAAGCAAGAAAAAGGATTATACCCATTGCATGATAATAATAAGTATCCATTAATAGAAAAAGAAAACACCACACAATACCGAAATAAGAGAGAGCCAAACACACACACACACACACAATACTCCATGGCTCTACTTTATGTATATTAAATGCTGCACACACACATACGCATGTCTATATTTAGAATAAATGTATACCGTCAGTGAGCAGAACAGCCCAGTTTTCTGCACACACACACAACGGGAAAAGCAAGTAATGGAATTATTAGAAAAAGAACACACACACACACATAAAAGTAAAAGAAAAGAAATTCCAATTAAAAAGAGAAAGCTGATAAACAGATTATTAGTTTATTCACCCATGGGGGATGTACGCAATTATGATTATGTTGGTATTAACCATTATTATTATTTGTCCTCAAGTGAGTCCCACCGTTCAGTACAGGGTAACGGAGACCAACACAGCCACAATCAATAGCGGTGCTGCAGTGCGCATCCACACAGAACTGACACTGCTGCTGTCAACAATGGGTTTGTTCTGTACTGTGGGGGCAATAGAGGTGATCTATGTGTCGGGTATGGGTACAGGAGATGGTTGGTGGGTAGAAGTAGAGTCGCTGAGGTCACTGTTATCCTCTGTGTTATTCGGTGATCCTTTCTTTTCCTCTGGTGTTATTTTTTCCTTTATTTCCTTCGCAGCAGTAATCACCTCCTCGAGTTTCTTTAAGGCCTCCTTTAAAAGGGTAACAGCTTCTTTCGCAGGCTCCACTGTAGGTTCAGTCTTCTTTGCCGCCTCTTGAGCATCTTCTACGGCGACGAGGGCACCTAACGAGATTTCTGCCAGAGCCGTTTCGTTTCTGTAAGGGAATGCAGTTTCTACCTTTTCGTGAAGCTCCTTGAGTTTCGGTTTCTCAGTGTCATCAACTTGTTCTGTCGTGGATTTGTTCATCTCGTCATATGAGTACCTAAAATCAACTAATAGTTCCCGAGCCGTCACTCCATATTGAAATATCGGAAGTTTTGTTGCTTCTTTAGTTAACCGTGCAGTATTTTCTGCAACGGCGGCGGCCTTCTTTACTTTCTCGAGAAGTTCAACACCTTTCACCATCTCAGCCTCCCCATCAGATGGATTAGTCTCCGCTGCTTTGACGAACTCATTGATTTTCGCGACGAACTCTTTGGCTTCTCTGGTTAAGTCAGTGGCATTTTTTGCAGCAGCAATACATTCATCCTTCAATTGCAAAATCTTATTCCT